TATATAAAGACCGTCAAAGAGGTCTGACAAGTAAAAAAAGACGGTGTGCTGAGCCACAAGATGGACAGCAACATTGTGCTATGACTACTTCAGGTTTCATAGGAAGGACGTAAATATTATTTTAAGTAAATGTCATAATACAGTAATCTAAATTAATCCAGCAAAAATACATTAAATGTCATAAACACGATATATTAATTTAAACAGAAAATCGAGATACAGAAACACCACAATTAGGCGACAGGTTTATTACAGAGTACTGGGTTTACCATTTATTTGCCACTTGCAGCATTAGGATATCCTCAATCAACGTCATGACCTCTACCTTGCAAATCGTAAAGTCCACTCTGCTGCTAGTTCGTCATGCTTCACTCTGTCCGCCAAGTACAGGTGGGCAATACCTGGAACAAGGGGTTTATCTGCAGGAGCTAAAAACTAGAAATTAAAAATATACTAGTGTCTCTAATTAAGCCTCTATTCGGCAAATTTATAAATAGGAATAGTAAGACGAATAATAGTGGCTCCAAGAAATGTGTGGATAATTCCTTCTAGGACATTTGTTCAATTCTATCTTTCTTATCTATAGTAATCTTACCTTCTTAAAAATGAGTAGTAGTTATGAATGTGTAGTTGAAATTAATGTTTGACTTTGACGGAATTTATGAACGATTTTTAATAAATTGTGTATCCAAACAGAGGCTAAAGCTAGGAGTTAACAGTTTAAAACAGCCTTCAATGCCCCTTCTTTTCCTCCGATACTTCATCCAAGTAGGAAATCATCAGGCCAGAAAGACATCTAGGCCTCATTTGGATGGAAGCACACACGATGCCAGATACCAAGTAATCTATATTGAATATTAAGTTAATGTTAATATTTTTAATCACAAATGTAATTTGGGATTACAAGTGCTACAAAAGCGGAAGGTTGGGGGTACTAAAATGCTCCGTTTTGAAGGTTGCCCCACCTAAGCTTTTTTTTTCAATCAAAATAAGATGATGGATGCATGTCCGGATGAAACCATAGAAGCAGAAATCAAGAAAAGGTTTATGTGATAATTTATGCAATTTGTCAGATTAGATCCAGTTTCTTAGGAAAAACAGCTAATATTGGGACAGAACGTCAAGGCAAGAAAGTTGAGATGCATAGTGTATAGAAGCCAGCAATGTGGCAGGATTCTTGACATCAATGGGACTGCCCTATATGTATAACATGTTGCAAAAAGTACACATTGTTTACACTATACAGAGAAGAGGGGAACCACTTTGTGCATATTTTTCTTCTTCAGTCCAAACAGAAATGCTTGGAGGTTAAAAGTACTTACAAGGAGCAGGGTTGGTAAATATTGATCTGAGTGCAAGTAGCACCTTTGAAATCGTCAGAGCTGGGCTCCAACCATCTTTCAGGATATCCAAACTAACATTGCCAGCTGAATCAACATTGCAGTGGTAGATGCGAGTTTTAAATAATACCTGCAAGCCTGAAGTCCAAAATCAAAATAAAAAGGACAGAGAACCATGAACATCATAGTATAATAGTAACAATCATAATGATTCTTGAGCCTCGAAGCCAAGAAAGGCAACCATTTTGGATTTCCCAAAGTTGATCCTTAGGAATACTTATGAAAAAATTTCAACTAAGAAAATTCCAATAAACTCAAATTTTATTGTCCCCGCACAAAATTTAGCACAAAAATAAAAATAAAAGATTATTGGAATTTTTATACTGTACAGCACTGGAGAGAATGAGAAACTACATTTGATGCATTACATTAATCGGTCATATGCTGAAGTCTAATTAAAACAGACATAATAAGCTGTTGATGAGCAGTATAATCTTCCTAGTGCTGAAACTTTAGTTTGGGTATTGATCTTTTGTCTCAAAACTAGAAAAAATAGTCTTTCAAAGACATTCATTGCATATTGCTAGGCAACCATTCAATAGTTACATTACAATAGAAGCATATAGATTTTAATCCAAACACTGTCATTCAAAATGTTCTAATTGACATTCAACTGGATTATTTTCCCTTCTTATGGAAAGAATTGCAGAGGTACTTAAGGAGAAGCTTGCCAGATGCTAAAAACTCAAGGTCCTCTTAAGAGTAATACAAAGAGAAACTTTTCCAACAGATAACACTCACTCAATGAACCTTTTCATTTTATCTTCAAGAGTGTATTCAAAAATATCAAAATCTCTGAGTTATTCAACTACGGAAAAGGGCTATCCACCAATAGTGACAGTCTACGACACTCCAAAATAAAAATTAAGCATGTCGAACGAAATCCTGTTGTTCAAGGACAAATATCATAAATAGACTGCTTGGTGATCATCAGTGATCTGAATGGTTGTTACCTTTGGAGGTTTAAATGGATAGTCACTTGGAAATGTTATATCAAGAAAAAATATTCCTCCTTCATATGGTGTCCCTACAAAACAGATTGAAAAAAAATTCGGTCAGTTCCATAATACTTGGCAACTTTCTTACTAATCAAAGTGCCAATACTTGATGATTTTATGCATTCTTATTGAAAAATTCTGCATGGACAATTAACAATAAAAGCAACCAAACAAGCTGAACATATAAATGGGCTGGAAACGGAACTCACGTAAAATTCACAAAATCCTGCTCCCTCCCTCCTACAAAGATAGGCTTGTTTCCATTTTCACACACGTTAAGAAAATGTAATATAGTTGAAAATATAAATTTTACTTACATTTTTTCTAATATACCCCTACATAAAAAATAATTTAAATAGGAGTAGTTCATATTTGTTGATAGCAAGGTACATTAAGTGAGTGTTTGACACCCATTTTAATTGGTTGAAAAATTTTGGAATAGTAATTGACGGGAGAATGTGTGGTGGAAAAATGATGAAACGTTTTAGATTTGTGTGTAATATTATTTTATCGGGAGATTGTGTAGTTGAAATAAAGAAAGAGAATGGGTCCCAAACAGGGGCTAAATAGAGACATATTAGAAAACTAAGAAATTAATTACACTCTTGACAAGGAAAGTGGCCTATAATGTGGGACAAACGAAAAAGCAAAGCAAGTTTATTTTTAAGATGCCACCTGGAGCTTAAAGAATAGAAGGAAAAGCAAATAAAATGTAGTTGAAATCTTTTTTGCTTTGTATCCATGCACACAGCAACACACACATTACTTAGCCACCACTTGAACCACTAGTAAAGTAGTATGCATACGCACACATCAATTTCATTAACAAATAACAACGCTAGAGCTTAATAAAAGTACCAATAGCATTAGAAACTTAAACGATTAAATCTTCAACACTATCATATAATTGAACACGGTTGTGAACAATTGAATCGAGATTGTAATTTTAGTCTCAACCCACTGGTGCACAGATCAAAATGTAAAATCTAATCCCCAATAACATAGAAGGAATTTTGTTCAATAATCGTCAAGGCATAGCAAGGTGAAACCTTTGCAGCACATTTACTAGTACTACATTTCAATGTTATAACTGACACCTCATTGCCCGACTATACTCAAGTTTTCAAGCCAGAGAATCCCACCCATATAACAAGGTACCATAGAATATTTGGCTAAGCTTAAAAGTCTTATAGGCAAGTAACTATTAAAATAAATAGTTTTGTAGCAGTGAAAATTGGATAAGTTAACAGTAAGTTAAAGATTTGCTATAAGTACTATTTTTTTCATATATGGCGTGATCATTTTCCCCTTTCTCTAAAAACCTAAAATTTTGAAATAACAAATAAGCAAATACATATATTGATACAATCACGCACATAAAGAAAAAGCGAGGGGTGGGAAACCTGGGGGACCAAAGATGGTGGCGACCCAGTGGTAGAGATTGTCGCCTTTGGGGCCGGCGGAGCAGTCGGGAGGAGGGTCTATGCTCAGCTCAGACATCTCCTTCTGTATTCTCTTCCCCGACGCTGACACTGAAGTTGTCGACGGCCACGACCTCCCTCCTCCTACGCTTCCTCTTCCACCGCCGCCTCCTCCTCCTGACGTCATAGTCATCATATTGTTACTTATCAAAAAATTTATAAGAAAATAATTAGTTTGTGGTTGCTCAAGTTACTTATTTGTCTCACCCGATTCATAAGGGATAATTGAGGCAAAACAATCCCAATTTTTACCTATTTTGTGTAAAGAGTAACGATGTGTAGTCCCCAATGGGGTTGTAAATCCAGTGGCTCTAAATAATAGGCTAAATGTTATTTAATTTCACATTTTAATTAATGTCACATTAACGTCACCTAAACTGAAGTTATGACTCCAGCGATATTAAATAGCATTGCTCTTCCGCAAAACAACTATAACCTTTCATTTTGGCGAAATATACCCTCATATCAAGCAATGCTGCGAAAAATAATATTTCATTCATTTTCTCCATTAAATCCTATAAATCATAAATTTAATGAGGACTTTTTGAAAATTTTAATTTTTTCTTCGTACCTTCTTTATTATTTAAAGTAGAGGGTAAAATCACCATTTACATGGCCTTATTGGAGAAAATGTTGTTACCCTCAAAATTTGCTTTGATCTAAAGAAGTATTGTACCAATTACTCTTTTATTAGCAATATTCGATCATGTTTGGCAAAAAACTTACACTTCTAAATAGCGAGTCTTGCGATTTTTTAGGTGAAAATAAGATCCACCCTGGTAGATTATTTGTCTTCGAGTCCCATGCATGGTGAATTGGCACAACTTTGGCCACAAAATGAGGCTTATTTATCAATCCGACTAGGTGACGATAGACCCTCTAATCCATTGGCCAATAAAGATGTGACTCTGCCATCTAGTCGATGATGAATAACTTTTTTTTCCTTATTCTTAAACTATAAGTTGTCTCGCACATATATGTTTATTCAATCATTTAGTCATATAAAATGAAAGACTTCAACTGACAACATAGGGAAAATGTTCGTAACACTTATTTTTTAATAGAATAAACAAAATTAACTTATTTTTTCTCTTCGCTATTCCATTCCCTTAAAAAACATATCACAAAATGCATCCTAAACACAAATATTGAAGAGGAAAGAATAATGGCAACCAAACAAGGGTTAAAAACAATGCCCATAGTGAAAACTGGTAGGCTGAGTTTTTTGAGCTTCCCGATAAAGGGGCAACGGGTCCAGATGCTGGAGCGGGAAATAACCCGCTTATGCTTGAATTCAAACTGCAACACAGTAAATAAAAGAGAGTAAATTAATTTCCTTTACGGATTTTTTTTTTAAACATCCGTTACATAGTAGTTCGAGCTCTCACCTTCCACTAAATTTACATGACTCGGAACCTGCGAACAGATATAGAGACAAGGATTTAGAAAGTTCTTCGTTTAAACCACAAGTTATGAATATGCCAGACAAGTATATATTCAATATCAAATAACGATTTATGACATCAATTTTTTGTCATCTCCACTTATCGGTGACTATCCGCATTTTTCATTTTCCATTGTAACATGACCATACATCCATCGTACCGTCCTTATTTACACTATATTGTCTCATGAACATTTTGTCATTCGGCAACTTAACATATCATTGACTTACAATCATCTCGTCCTTCGCGTAGAATCCCCTTAGCACCATTTTATTTTGGTCATCATGCTCTAATTCTATGCATTATATCCTCTTCAAATCCTCCTAATTGATTCAAACCCAATTGACGAGAATAGTAACTCTTTTAGACAACACAATCCTTTTTAATCTTGATCATAATAAACCACTATTTATTTTGAAACTAACTTATTTACTTATAAGTAAACTTTTAAGCTTAATCAAACACTTGTGCTCTGTCCTACGTAATGATGACATAGAACGTATACGCATGGTTGGATGAAATAGTAGCAAAAAGTTGGCTGTATTGTTATTAAATAAACAAGAGAAGTCACTAGTTGCTAGCTTAGCGAAAAAAACTGAACGCAGCGAGAAATTCATGATTAATAAGAAGCAAGCAAGAATTCAAGGGGTAATAATACGAGTTTTGAAATGTTTAGAAAAAATTGATGTGAATAATAAGGACGTGTTTGGTATGCAGTATTTAGTACCAAATTTCAACTTCTTATTATTGTCAAAGTACTATCCAATCTACCTTCCCTTGGATATGTTTTAATTATGCTAGTGTCTTTGAAAATTATTTCATAACCTACTATTGAGAAATCCAAGAGTTGTTTTCACTGATGTGGAAGCAAGAGTTCATTTCAATTGAAACCAGGATCTAAGTTTCTATAGAGTACATTTCGTACCAAACATGATAAATGAAGTATTAATATTTTGCAGCATCTTAGGTGATTGGTGAGAAGTACCCGACGAGACGGGGATAATATTATAAACAAGATTTTAGAATCTCGCTCTTACTAAATATTGTCTAGCCCGATCTATTCCTTCGTACCATCCATTCACTTGTTGGTATGTCTAGTAAATTAGATGAATAATGCTCCTTGTACAAGGCCCCACCTCCTTTGTGAGAGGTTATAACCCAATGTTGTAATCTATGTATTGTACATGTAGCATTGTTCAAATTAGATTGCATAACACTCGACAATATCAAGAGAGTTTCGCCACAAAAACAGGGTTAAAAACAGGTGGGACATGTGTCATTCACTGATCAGACAATTTAAAAAATAAAAATAAAAAATGACCCAAACAGGTGCTGACAAGAGCACCTGTTTCCTTCCCCCCTGTCCCCAACCCTGTCTGACTACCATAACTCATATCAAGAAATGAAAAGAAGATAAAATCTTATCCGTTCTATGTTTTGATCCTATCTAATATTAATATATCCTTAATGTCCCTGACAGGCAATTCATTAGTTGCACAGCTATTTGATCAAAAATTTGACATCTGATTCCATCAAGTAATGAGTGCAAGTATGGTCAAAATAATTTTGTATGTTTCAAGATAACGACAAAGTATCAGAAACTTACTAGGATCATTCGTTGTTGTGGTTGCTGTGCCATCAAAGTCGCACGATCCACCAGAGCTATGCATTTTCTGATAATAATCATTGTACGCATAAGATGCATGACTTTGCAAAGTATCTGGGAAATAACAAGGCTGCCCTTGTTGAATTGCTTTACAATTCGCCCGGCCAGGTCCACAGGCCCAGTTAAGTCCATTCTGCAGCTTATTTGCATCTGCTCCAGGTTTTGCTATACAAAACACTGTTGAAGAATTTGCACTGTTACGATCTGAATTACTCAAACTAAGAGGATATACAGCAGTTCCATTGGTAAACAAGACACCCCAGTTTTTTTCTGAGACAGGCCCCGGTCTCTTGTCTTCATTGAATAGCTCATAAATGTATGTATTCACGGGAATGGTAGGCTGACTAGGCGGACCGGAATCATTGAAAACACGCTGAATCAAGTTTTCATTGAATGTCTGAGCATTTTCTAAGGTAGCATCGGGTTCGTTAGAACCACCAAACCACGGCCACCCAGTTTCAGTCATGACAATAGGGATTCTGGTGAAGTTAAGAGCTTCAATAGAACAGTAGGTAGCATCGACCAAAGCCTCAAACATACTGTTATAGCGAAAAAGGGTGTACGGATCAACAATTTGTTTGACTGAAGATAGTGGTCGGAAAAGAGCATAATCCATTGGAAAGATGCCGTTGCTCTTAACATATTCATAATACGGATAAGCATTTAACATGTAAAATGAATTTGTGTTTCGAATGAACTGAAGGATCTGAAAAATTGTAGAGTTCCATGTTGTATTAAAAGAGGCAGTAGAAGGAGGAAAAGGCCTCGGAATTATGTCCATTGACATTGGCGTCGAAACTTTAACTCGATGGCTTAGATCTGAAGAAACTAAGGCTTTATAGAGGTAATTCATTGCAGGGACTAAAATTGGTGCAGCATTTGGGATTGAATTGAGAACTTCACTGCCTACAGAAATCGACGTAATATTGGTCGAGGGGACATATGCTGCAACATTTTTATTAATCCAGGCTGCGGCTGCTGAAGGGGATTCTCCAATCCCCAAGACTTCCTCATTTGTAACACTAACCATGACTTCAATGCTAGTGTTTGAGAGAGCATTCAGCAAGTGGGCATCAGCATCAAACAGGCGTACATTAGTTATTTGACGAGCTTTGAGGATTGCGACAATATCGGTAGCAGATGGTAGATTTGAGATGTCAGTCCCGATATTTATTCCAATAAATCCCCCTACAGTTCAAGAAGACGATTAAAATCACGTAGAAAGGTTTACCAGTATTAGACACAATAAAGAATAAGAAGATGATGCTGCATGTTTGGCTAAGCTTATTTTTTATTTTGAAAATAAGCAAAAAAAATTATTTAAATGTAAGAAAAAAGTAACTTATCCACACATGTTTGGAAATACAATGTTAAAAGTAACTTTTACTTATTTATAAGCTTAGTCAACATGCTAAAGAGTGAAGATTAGTCGAATTACCGAGAGCATTGGAGAAAATTCCAAAAAATAATGTAAGCCTCAACCATATTTCAAGCAACATCAGCTCAAAATTTAACTTCGACCTCCAACAGTGCTTGTACTTATCCCTTTATATGAACTAGAATAGCAAAGATTATAAGCAGATAAAAATATCATCAGATACAGAGACAAAAGAACTTCTGGTATAAAGAACTCCACACAACTATTGTATGTATAAAGCCTTCAAATAAAATGGTGCCTTTACTTAATTTCCATAGAAACATCTTGGCATGTAATGTCAATATAAAGTAAGAATGAGCGAAATAAACAAGATAACTGATAAAGCTATTAAGAACTCTTTTCTAGCTTACGGAGATTGATTTAGCCCCTTAAGAGTGCAGAATTTTGAAAAGTTTGGAGTTGAAACTCGAAATGTCGAGAAGTAAACATAAGCACTGGGTATGTATGTCCCTATAAATGTATGTAAACTGCGGACGCCTATTTGTGTATAGGCACGTTCAAAATCCTGGAAATCACATAGAGAAATAAAGAACATGAAGCAAGGACTAAGCGAAGGAAAGAAAATTGATACTGCAAATTCCCAAAGACAAGTCAGGAACGAACATCGATGGACTTGAATAAGGAATGCCAAAATCCTAAAAGAGACTAACATTTAGTGAACAAAAGATGTCCCAAATTGCAATGACCGGCCATAAGGCCGATTCACACGAGAAATTAGTCCAACACAACCGCCATCCTCAAATCAGTCAAAATCGTTAATAACCAAGTGGGCTAAACTTCTCACAGGCATTAGAAAAACTCCAATTATAAATCTGCATCACTGGATAAATTCCATTCAAGAAGGCAAGAAAATAAAAAAGAAAACGCAGATAAGTAAGTGGAGGCTCTACTCACAAAACCCAAATCCCAAAACCAAAAGCACTGTAAAATTCAAAACCAGAAATCAACAAAACAATACAATACATTGATAGTGTAGATTAGACTATTTAAAGACAAAAAAATTAAAATTAAAATCTTGTCTATTAGTTCATTGAAAAAGCAAGGTACCTTATTGAACTTATGCTGAACCTGCAAACATATCCACAAAGCCAGAAATCTGCCTTTCAAGATTCCACAAAACTATACAGAGAGACCCATTAATCAAATATGAGCCACAAAAAAGAATTTAAAGAGAGGATCAAAGGAAAAAAAATGAAGAAGCTTACAATCACAGGAACAAACCAGAAAAACAAAAAGGTGTTAAGTCTGCAAAAGTGTTGTTTCATTTACGGGTTATGCTACACCTACACAAAAATTATGGACAAGTAACATAATTCTTCATTTATTACATCATGCTACATGTACACTCACTTTCACATCTGAGTTGGCACTATTCCTAGTAGATTTATCAAAGTTGATTTTGAATCCATCTATCCATCTATCAAGTCACCGCATAGATTTCTTCAACACAAGGTGGGATGTCAACAAACGTGTAAAACACGATATACATATAGCATAATTCTTATTACACTATTATCGTTTACAAACACTGGTCCACCAAAAAGGCATAGTACTGTAAATACAATTAAACACACGTACACCTGTGTTTTCTAATGCATGTGGGAGGGTAGTGTAATGGATGTACATTTTGAAGAAATTAAAGAGGGGGCTGTAATAAGAACTCCTTGATAATCTCAAGACTCATCAGTTACGACACTTTACAAAGGTTACGCTCTTGTACAGTTGTTCTGTCGTCTTTTGAGTTCCGGGAAAATATAAAAAATTAAAAAATAAGGGGATTTGCACAAGTGGTCCCTAACCTTTGGGATATCTGTGTAAATAGTTCATAACCTTCAAATCTTGGTGAAATAGTTCTAACCTTTCAATTACTTGGCACAAATAGTCATATTGGATGATTTCTAATTTTCTATTGAATTAAGAATTAAAAATGTCAAACTTTTGATACCCTGTTTGGGCCTGTTTCGCGCGGGTTGTCGCTAACAATTAAAAAATGATTCAGGCGATTATGTAAGGAACATACTCCTTGAAACAAAGTCCTAAAAATGAGTGTTTTATTGGCGATGATTTACAATTGGAAATAAACAGAATGCTTCCAAGGGGCGTAATCACACGACTACTAAAAGAAGTGTTTAAAGTTAAACTAAGAAATTGAAATTACATATTCTCTTTTTAGAGTGTTTGATTTGGATTCCTTTCTCTATGTCTTATCTTCCTTTTTATACTTCCTTGATAATTCCTTTATGACAAATCGTTTGGAAACTGCTTATTGCTCTATAGCTACCCACTTTCTTCATGATGACTGACTTGTCATGGAACTACCTTCTCTAACTGTTGTCATTACTCTCGTCATTCAACCGTCTACAACTGTGATTCTTAGATCATGGGGTGTGATAAGGTTGTTCAATAACCTTTTCAATAACTGCTGAACTGGATAACCGTATTACCTCAAGTTTGTTAAGATCTTGGACGATTCGAAGGTTTGAGCGAGAATAGGCTCGTTCGCTCTAGACGATTTTAGGGCACTCCACTCGCTCAGATTTTGGGCGTCTTGCAAGTTTGGATGATGATTATACCTTGTTTGTAGGCTTCCGCCGCATTCATTAATGGTCCTATTTAAACCTTCATCCTGGACTTCCTAACGGGTTTCATCTCTTGGGCTACTCGATTTGGACTACACTTTTTGTATGTCAACAGGTCACATTAAAATTTTCATTTTCATTCTTCTACTCGTTTTCAACCATACATTCGCCAATAAAATAATATTTTTCATCACATCTATAACTTTTTATCATTTTTCAACTACACATTTTCCATCAATCTACTATTCCAAAATACATTCTTCCAAAATAATGTGGAAATTAAAATGCCCTTACTTTAGTTAAAAAATATAAAGACAAAACGAAAAGTCAACTCATCATATCAACTAATCCCTTGTAGCATTTTCAATGCAATTGTGGATTGCATATAATTGTGTCGTTAAGCAAAAATAATGTGTTTAATAAATTGTCTCTCAAACGTAAGTTAATTAGGACTTCATCGTGATGACGTAGTGGAAAAAAAGATAGATATTTTCTAGAACTCTATTAGACATGTTGAACTCAACAAAGTTCATTATTTTAAATATAAAATAAAAAGATATCTCGATGACAATCCATAAAATGCATTATAAACCAATTTGAACTTAGGTGTCTACTCATTACACATCAATGTCATGTATAATGAAAGTCCTTTGATATTTATTTTTCTCTATCACGTTATCTCTTTACAGAATCCCTCTTAATTTGCATTAAAGATTTTTTGAAGATTTTCTATTGTGTTTATATGATATAATTTTAAAACAATTCACACTCTTGAAAACATTTTTTTATGGGAAATTGATTGGTAGGGTGAATTGTCTTTTCGTTTATATATATTTTTTAAAATTTTCTTTTCGATTAATTTATTTAACTAGAAGTGGGGTATTTCATTTCCTTATCAAAAGTTTAACCTTTTTTAACTGTCGATGGTCCAAAATGATCGATCAGCCCATTAAGTGAAAGGCCAATGATGTTTGTGTCAAGATTCGAAGATTAAGGATCATTTGAGCAGCAACCCCATAAAGTTAGGGACCATTTGCCCCAATTCCCCTAAAAAATGAAGAAATGAATGCAAGGGGTGGGGGGGTGGGGGGGGGGAGAGAGAGAGTATTTTCTTCCCTTTTTCTTTTTGGCTTTGTGGCCTGAAAAGTCTAGAATTTGGAAGCACAACTAGACACCTAATGAGCCCTCTTAAAGCCCCATACAATACCTAAGAAAATTTATCAGTCTCGAAGGACAACACGCCAAATTTATGACGAAATTGTTAAATAAAAGGAACGAAAATGTTCTCCTGCCCGCGGCGGACAGGCTTATCCTGCCCATCTGCTGATGTGGCAGGAGAACCCTACGTGGGGTTCTTTTCAAATGTGAGAACCCCACGTTGGGTTCTCTCCGAGTGGGCATTATAAACTTGCCCGCCGCGGGCAGGAGAACGGGAGCAGATAACGAAATAGATTATTCCAAAATCAGCATTTGGAACGAAAATGTTCTCCTGCCCGCGGCGGACATGCTTATCCTGCCCATCTGCTGATGTGGCAGGAGAACCCTACGTGTGGGTCTCCCCAAATGTGAGAACCCCACGTTGAGTTCTCTCCGAGTGGGCATTATAAACTTGTCCGCCGCGGGCAGGAGAACGGGACTTATAAAAGGAATACGTATGAAAGAAGAAAAGAAATTAAGGTGTGTTTGGAAAATTTTCCATGGAAATTGATATTTTTCTATCTAAATTTCAACTTTTGAAGTGTTTGATTGTCGTATTTTTTCATGAAAAATAGTTTTCAACTTTTGTTTCGAGGAAAACATTTTTTCGAAAGAAAATAATTTTTTATTTTTCATAAAACAAGGAAAACATTTTCTTTTTTAGAAGATATTTTCTGTGCCAATCAAACACACTATAAGTGACTAAAATGAAATTTACTCAGAGTTGGATGACCAACTTTGTTTTTTAAAAAGATGATAGTATTCTTGATAGAACTATATTTTTTGTTTCCATTTTAAGATAATAAGGCCCTGTTTGGGAGGGATTAGATTTTTCTACAGTAAATCAATTCTCATTTTCAACCACACATTTTTCAATAAAATAATATTTTACATGACATCAATAATTTTTTCTTCATTTTCAATCACACATTTCCCATCATATAATATATTACATCACATCAATAATTTTTTCTTCTTTTTCAACCACACATTTCCCATCATATCACTATTCAAAATCAATTATTCCCCCAAAAATTTCTCCCAAACAAGCTCTAAAGTTTGTTCCTTTACTTTTTTTGATGAAAAAATAGGTTGGCAGCAAAAGGGGTCTCTTTTCTTAGTTTTCATCCAAAAGACAAGGTTAATTCCAGCTTGAAGAAAAAAGTGAAAAGTCCATGGGCTAATGTGATCAGTTATTGAATTTGAGGATGAATGGGAATTTGTAGCCATCCATCTTTTCCAAAAAGCTGACCCAGCTACTTGAACTTGAGGATGAACGGGAATTATGGTGTTTTTTTTTTTTTTTTGTATCACAAGTTATTAGTATCGGTCAATTAGTATTATTGTCACATTGTTTAATGAAATTATATTATGTTTTGTATATTGAATAATAAGACAATGATCTCACTACAAGAAAGGGTTGTGCAAGTTCTAGTGAAGTTGAATAACACAATTCTTCTTTCTTGGACAAGTTATATCCGGTAAGCACTGCATTTCTAATTTCAGTTCCTTCATTTCCTTCTCCATTACTTTCATCCTGCTTTCTATCTCCTTCTGGGCCATTAGGAGACGTACTCTGATACCAATTTAATAAGACTCCACCAAAAGAAAATAGGTTATTGAATTCTGAATGCAATTACAGATAAATGCAAAGCAGAAAAAGGCAAACTAGACTCTCTTTTACTCAACTATTGCCTACATATCCTTTTCTGTCTACATCTATTTATATATGCCTTGGCGAGAGTGGCCGATCCGAACCACTCTTTCTTCCATCTCACACAAGGATTCTGCACCTATTATGCAAATGGACACTGAAGTAATTAGTTGTCTTCAACATCACATTTGTGGTAATAATGAGAAAGACAACGCCAAATACAACACCATACAAGCTCGTGTCCTATAGCTAGACTATTCTAAGCACGATTGCAACCACAAACACCAAAACAAAACATACGTTCAATTACACACTCAAAATGCAGTGCAAATGTAATTTTCATTTTTCAAACCATGACCACTTCAACTTAAACTTCGTGTTCGTTGTCAACTTCACGTTCATGGCCCTCGTGTCTCATTTCAATCCCATTTGTTTCATTTCAATCATACAAGATGTCGTCTTCTTCAGACGCTGAATCGTTTTTATAATTTGTGGAGTCTGGATCATCCCGCATAATCTGTCATAAAATGAAAGTACAACAAAATTTACTCAATAGTGACACAACATATAAATGTTAGTAGGTGACAAAGTGAAAAATTGTACACTACAATGGACATATAATGATCATACTGGAATGGACTTGCTGTATTCTCAAAAGAAAAATAGTATCGACTTCGCAACAAATTAAATCACATTCGACAAATAGATTATATGTATGTTAGTGATTGAAGATGATTATTGTCAATAAAAACTGGAAAAAAACTGAGAATCCTCAATCAATTTCATAAATTCAGGCAAAACATCAGTTGCATATAAATTTAGGCAACCATCCAAAGAATCATCAAATGCTTTCTTTGTATATTGTGAGGTGGATCAATTTAATCTACTTGGCACATGAGTATTTGTCTTGAAAATTTTGAAAGGATTGTACTAGTTGATGTGTATTATGAACCATAGATTAAATCCAATGGTTGTAGTCAATTACACATTCTAGTCATGTCTATTTCATAGTACAATATTTGAATTTAAATTTAAATGAATATTTGGCTCTATAATTATAAGACTTCTTCACCCTTTTTATTTTGGAGTTGGCATAACAAAAGAGAGTAGGCATAGAGAGGTAATCAAGTGGGAGATGTTCATATTTCCAGCGAAATTCTTAGTGTCTTCCGATAGATTTATTTCTCCATATATCCATTGTCATTCTTGTGGACGACGGTGCATGATCCGGTGTGGTAAAAATCTAAGCTCAACATCATATTACACTCTATTAGTACTGTTGAAGNCCGACACTCTAATCGGAAGACATATCGTGAAAATCAATTTAATTTACAAATGTAATCCTAGAATTTAGACTTAAGACATATTCGCATAATTTTATTGGAACAAGATCAAAGATCGACCATATACATCAAGTATAAGGTAGTAAGTCACACTAATAAAATAAATGAAATTGAAATTGAACAATTATTTCGATTGTTGAATAGTAAAAGCATGACTAATGTCTATAAAAAATCTAATAGGAGTTAAACAAATTTCAAAATAAATTTATGAAGAGAAATCTAAATCTAGAATTGTTTAATAAGAAAAATAACAAATTACATAAATAAAAGACGTGAAATCACCAAATCCAATGAATTACTCCATTGCTTCACAAAATTGTTTAGTTCTTCATGGAGTTCTTGAACCAAAAGATGAGAGAAAAGTGTATGCAGGCGTCTACCCTCATTCTGGTACGTTCTAGGATTGAAATATTGTGAAAGATGTTGGTTTCCATAAGAGTTTGACATAAATTAGGAAACTGAAATCGCGTTAGAATTTTATACTATGCGACCGCATAGCAATGAGGGATGCAATTGCATAGAACAATCAAAATGGCCGTTGGATTCTCTGAATAATTCTTGCATTTTGGTCCTCCAAACTCAGTTTCGTATTCCTCGAACTCTTTTCCCACTTCTTCTTCAACCCATGCTTAATTCCTTAACCCAATTTTACCTCTTCATCTTCATATCTCGTTTTTCCTTCCGAGTAATATTTTTGATATTTACAATTTAGTCCATGAACTTTCGTTTCCTTCAACTTGGTCTTTTTTCACTCGTTTCTTCTTATTCCCGCTACATTCATCACGTTGTCCTGCAAAACGTAAATTACATAGAATTAAAATATATTTCAACAGATTAATCAACAATATTCTATGTTTTGACAGTAAAATAAGTGTGTAAAGGTGCACTTATCAATAACGGTAAGTATATCGTTGAAAAACACCAAATAAAAGGAATGTCAAAGCAATGCCAAAAGAAATGTATGTAAAGTCGAGACAAGAGTTGAACTATTTATCCTTAAGTCGAATTTTCCCCGCAATGGTGCCCGCGAATAATATCAATAGACTCTCAAGATACAACGACAACCTTATTGTGTTAGTAACACTTCAGACACAAGAACAACGAACCGAAGATTGATTTTTGTACTCCTTACGAAAAATGGAAAAACAATTTTTTATGCAGAATTTTGGCTAGAAAAAATAAATTTCATGTTATACTATGATTGCATATCATTGGGATTAACAAATGGACGTCACAATGATCTAATTTATAGAGGAGTAAATGTTGTGAATAAAGTGACGCGCCCCAAACTCAGCAACATTTGCTAAGGGTCGCACATTTTGCGGTCGTTAGCCGTTGTCCTTGCGATGCTCGTCAGAAATGGAGACTCTATCGCTCGCCTTTCCCTAGCCTGTTGCTCGAGTGACAAACTCCTCGCTTAAACGCTAGACGAGCAACGAAGTTGGACAAATTTCCAACCGGTTTCCTCTCTTTTCTTCAAAGTTAAGACCATAGTTTCTCATTCACCCGAAATTGGTTTAGAGAATTCAAATATACCACGATGATCTACTCGACGAGTAGAACAAGTTAATCTATTCATTTTCATAATTTGACTATCGAATCAAGTCCGAATATTTGGTTGAAACTGACACGAAAGTCACTTTTTCATGACTTAATACAACAAATTCCAACAAGGTTTGGGTTTTATTTTTTGGAACTTGAAACCATAAGGCCCCGTTCTCTTTGCCGCTTTCTGTTTTCGATTTTTCAAAAATACCAAAAACGCGTTTTCTTTCCTTTTTTTAAAAACGCATTTTGCAAAACAAGTTTAAAATTTATGAAGAAAACACAAAACGACAAATTTGTCATTTTGGGTGTGCTCAATTATAACTTGGCCAAAATTTTCAGAACTTGTTTTCGTTGTTTTCAATTATTTTCACCCCCAACCACCACTGTTGTTGCTTGCAAAACACCACCAACCGTTGCCGACTCAACATCCCCCCAACCACCACCATCAACGGAACCACCTCTACCGCCACAACCAACCACCCATGACCAACGTTTTTTCCAAATTTGACTGCTTCAATTCCTCACCCCCACAACATTTAATCATCAAATTGGCCCCAAGAGTGTCTTCAGCAGCCACATAGGATCATGTGTTACATGTCAATTGCACCAATTAATTCAGAAACTGCTCCAATTTTCGAATCCACAGCTATCTTCTCCTCACCTCCATTTCCCAGCCGTCCCCTTCCCTTACCTCCACAAACAACACGCACACACGCAAGCAAATGGGTCATGTGATCCGGGCACAGCTAACAAGATCCGTTTTCAAGTCTTATACCCATCGCCGGAAGGGTCCTACCAAATTATGTTCCCTCAACTTCGACGAACGCAATGGCTACCAAATGGGGTGGTAACTGAAATCATTCACGATCTAGATAGCGGCGCCCCTTGCTCGCTTTACCTTCAATTTTGGATGGGAGGAAGAGGGAGGGGGGAGGAAGGGAGAGACGAAGATAGAAGGACGGGGAGAGGGAGAGGGAGAGACGGGAAGAAAATGAGTTTGAAATTGAAAAAAAGAACATGTTTTCAACAATTTCAAAATGGACATTCAAAACACAAAACTCAAAATGATTTCAAAACTCAAAACAGAAAACTGAAATACGAAAAGAACAACCCCTAACTTATTCTTAGTGGGATCCAAGTAGCAATTGGAAGGGGGGAAAGGTCATTAAGCCATACAACGACAAGAGTTAGAGGTTACAGCACGGGAGACCTAGGGGCAGCTAGACAAAAACTCCAGATATGTATACACAAATCACTTGAAACCATGTTTGGAAATGTTAACAAGCTAATGTAATATTTTACGGCTTATGTTTTTAGATGAGAAGGTTTAGCAAAAATACACTAAATGAGAATGATCGTGGCTAGATGTTGATTATCTTGTCTCTCATTTGTGATACAATGTGCAGCTGGCAGTTGAGGTTCGAATACCAGTGAAAAACGTGTAGGCTTATGCATTTGCAGAACATGGAAACCATCTCGAGAGTTCAATTTTCGTATAAGGGAATCTGAAGAAGGCATACATGAGAAATGGTCATGCAGGACATAGAAACGATCTCAGGAGTTCAGTTTCCGTACAAGGAAATCTAAAGAAGGCATACATGAGAAATGGTCATGTTTCCTAGTACGATGTTGGAATGAAGCTCGGTCAAGTACGTGCAGAGTATGCTGTCGATCATAACTACAGATGTGGTTCGTTTTTCGTTCATGTTGGGGAGAGATTCTAAGAGTTGTTGTTCATAATCAGATTATGAGGGTGTTTTGTGTGGATTTAAATTAAATTTTTAGTATATTGTAATAGAAATTTTTGAAATATGTGAGAAAAGTTGTGACACTCTTGAAAAATGTGATTAATATTGATTGTTTGACTTTAACTTATATTAAAATCAAATTTTAATCCAAAACAAACAAACCCTATTTGTATGTTCAATTTTGAGGGCATTAAATTCATTTTTATTGTTAATTATCCAAATTTTATTAATAAAGATAGGAAGATTGTGAAGATTTTTGAAGTGCAAAGTAATTTGACTTCCTCTCGTTGTTCAGAAGAATAGATGCAACTATATAGACCAACCATTGTTTTTTAGATCATGATTAGCAACTTGATCAGAAACTAAATCACAATTTAAACAGTATTTCTTCTCAGAAGTTTGAGATCATCCACACACCATGATATTACAAAAACAGGGAGAAGGGCAGCAACCCAACTCTCACAATCAAATGAACTTATTAGATGCCGAGAACTTTAATAATCTTCGCTGCCTTCTTCATCATCAACACCCTCAGCACCAACTTCTTCATAGTCTTTCTCGAGAGCAGCTAAATCTTCACGAGCTTCACTGAACTCACCTTCCTCCATTCCTTCACCAACTTACCAGTTAACAAATGCCCTCTTGGCATACATGAGATCGAATTTGTGGTTGATGCGTGAAAACACTTCAACCACTGCAGTGTTGTTGCTAATCATGCACACGGCTCGCTGAACCTTGGCAAGATCACCCCCGGGTACCACTGTTGGAGGCTGATAGTTAATACCACATTTGAAGCCAGTGGGGCACCTGTAAAATCCAGACGGGGATGACTTTTGGGCAATTCCAAGGTGTGTAATCAAACTTTATGTATGGTATAAATAACTAGAGAATGTATAAAAAGCCTTCCTAACAGCAATATCCAATGTAGGGTAATGTATTTTTATTCTAGTTGCACTAGCCGGCAAAATCCAATAAATGAAAATGATGTAAAGATTCAATGAATTTGATAATATCTATGTCAATCTAATAAATAAATTTAATTATGTGAAATAATTATGTTCATCATGTCAGTTAGGTTCCATTTTTTGCCAAATTAATGCTGTTTCCTTACCAGTCAACAAACTGGACAGTTCGTTTGGTTTTGATGGTAGCAACAGCAGCATTGACATCCTTCGGAACAACATCTCCACGGTACATCAAACAACAAGCCATGTATTTCCCATGTCTTGGATCGCATTTTGCCATCATGCTTGAGGGCTCAAACACTGCATTTGTAATCTCGGGGATTGATAACTGCTCATGGTATGCTTTCTCAGCTGAGATCACAGGGGCATATGACGAGAGCATGAAATGGATACGAGGATATGGTACAAGGTTGGTCTGGAACTCTGTAACGTCCACATTAATGGCTCCATCAAACCGTAAAGAAGTAGTCAGGGATGATATGATTTGAGAAATCAAACGGTTCAAATTGGTGTATGTCGGCCTCTCAATATCTAGAGACCGCCGACAGATATCATAAATGGCTTCATTGTCCAAGATCACAACCACGTCTGTATGTTCAAGAAGGGAATGAGTTGAGAGAACACTGTTGTAAGGCTCCACAACAGCAGTCGACACCTGCAATCAATGCCAAACCCCACATTTAGGTCATGTGGAGATTGAAGAACAAAGCATTTATTACAAGGTTAACTATAAGCTAAGCACCTGGGGAGAAGGATAGATGGTGAAACCGAGCTTTGATTTTTTCCCATAGTCCACAGACAAGCGTTCCAATAGCAGTGAACCTAATCCAGATCCCGTTCCACCACCAACAGCATTGAACACCAAAAACCCTTGCAAACCAGTGCAGTTATCCGCCAACTTCCTCACTCTGTCCAAGCATACATCAACAATCTCTTTCCCAACTGAAAAAAATATTGCCAGAATCAAATAAATTCCATAAAAGACAGGTGCACAAAAGTCCATTGACTAACAATTTCTACACTTAACAATCCACATGAAATTAACATATTCTCTTAGAAAGTTCACGGCTTGATTCAATAGCTACATTGAACCTGCATTTGCCCAGTCACTTAAGATGGCCACAAGCGTGATCGATAGCAATCACAGACCAATTTTTACTTTGATAGTTAATGAACTTGATACCACGTGCATAAAAATTTCAATGCAACCAATCTTGAACTCCTCAAACAGCAAAATCATGCACCTGTATAATGTCCCCTGGCGAAATTATTAGCAGCATCTTCCTTTCCAGAAATGAGTTGCTCTGGGTGGAAAAGCTGGCGATAAGTCCCTGTCCTGACTTCATCAATGACAGTCGGTTCAAGATCAAGAAATATAGCCCTGGGTACATGCTTCCCCGAGCCTGTCTCGCTGAAGAAGGTGTTGAATGCATCATGTGCAACACCCACTGAGGTGTCACTACAAACCCACAGAACAAAAGTTCATTCAGTAAACTTCATAGCTCATAAATTTCTTGAATAACAGAAAGCAAACATAAACGGGGGGAAAAAAACCACACTTATTATTGCAAAAACCGTTTTCCAATCTTTTAAGGACTGAGCATTCGTTCAAATTCAAGTCATTGATATTTTATTCGAGCTTTCATTTTTTCTCTCCATTTAAACAATCCGAAAGTCATATAATCCAGAGAGTTACAAAATCAGACTCAATCTTAATAAATACAAGATAAAAGAGGGTATCTTAATTCATTAACTACCGAATAAAATGATAAACCATTCAAATCATTTGTAAAATACAATATAACCTTCAAAAATAACATTATCCCTTCCGAAATCAACATTCATGTACGCACATTAAATAATTACACCAACAGATATCGACAGATATCATCAATTACAAAGAAATATATTTAATAATGTAATAAGCGTAAAAGCGTCGATACATGAAAAAATAGGTAAAATTAGAGGCATACCTAGGCATCATGCCGTCGGGTTGGATGCCATGCTCAAGGCAATAAAGCTCCCAACATGAATTACCCACTTGGATCCCTGCCTGACCAATGTGTATGCTAATTATTTCTCTCATTTTTACCTCTCTCCCTCTCTAAAAATCTTCAGACTAAAACTCTTTGCCTCTCACTCTATTTAGAGGCCTCTTTGATTGGATTCAGAAACGGTAGCTTTTCGCTGTATACACACACACGGAGACATATACACGTATATGTAAGTCTATGTAGGTCTTGACCAGAAAATAAGGCAGACGAAAATGTCCAGATATTTATGATATGTTTCAAAATATTTCAACATTGATCCTCGAATTATTATTCTAGTAAACAAATTGATCCATGACCTCTAAAATACAGCAAATTGACCCCAACTAATTATTATAATTTTTTTTACTAGAACCAATTGACTTGGATGAAAATCAGATTATATCAATTAGTTAAGTTATCTTTAGTATTAGATAGTGGTCCTCAAGTCCAATTAAGGACAGTTTCAACTTTCAATATAAAATATAGACAATAATCTTTACTTTGTAATTTTTTCTGGAGCACTAAAAAATCAAATGGGACCAAACCAGAACTAGTCAATTCTAGTTCGATCCCCACAGCATGTGTATAGAATTTTCGTTAATGTTCAATTTGACCTTGATTTCTCATCAGAATTTTGTTATGCCCAAATCTTTGTTAAATAATCTCGTGATTTTCGTATAAATACATTTCACTTCAAATATTTAACACGTGCAAAATCGTGTCTAATAAAAACTAGGCATATAAGAGTCACAACGATTTAATAGCTAAATCTTGATTGAGATATCTATCCACGTCTCCTAATACAATATGCTTGAGTGTCTATTTTAGAGATCTAGATGGTTTTTATTATTGGAGATTGATTGTTTAATTGTGAGAAAAATAAGGACTAACTTACTACCTATCAATAAACTAGGGACCAACATTACAATCTTCCTTATTTTATATTAGGGAATGACCGAATATTAAATTAATGAATAGTTGGAGCCCCAATGCAGGGGCGCCAGCCCAATAATGGGCCCACTTATATCACTGTGATTGTATTTTCCATTTAAATGACAAAAATAACCTTATATGTAATGCCCCTAGTTATTGTCAATCTTTGGGGAGTGCAAAATGAAATGGGGGTACAACGGGCTGTCTTTTTACCCAACCAGGGTGTACCATGTGCATATAATAGGTGTACATTTTGAGAGGGTGGGGTGGGTGCGGTTAGCCTTTGAAAGAGACAAAGAAAGGAAAGGAAAGAAAAAGTTAGCTTAATTGATTATGCCACTGTTTGTAGGGGATTAAAAATCATAATTTTTAATGAATTTTTATAAAAAGTTGATAAAATAGGCAATTGAAAAGTTCTAAATGTATGTATAAAATTAATTGTTAATTTTAATCGTTACCAAACGGAGACTATCTTTTGTGCTAGGACGACTTCTTGTCTGTCCCGTGAAAGTTACACTATTGATCTCTTGTTGCTAAATTGATGAGTCAGAGTCTAACTTGAGATTTTCAAGTCGGAATCCAAATTTAAAAGTTGAACATTCAAATCGAAGTGCATGCTCAAATCTTTTTCTTCGTTGAATTTTTCATCTCAAAGTCAAGTTTTTTTCCCCCTTTTTTCATACAACTCAAAAGGAAGAAAAAATTTGAAACAACTTGAAACTAGTGAACACTGAAAAACTTTTCATTACTTACCATCAAAATTTAGACTAGATAAATTTAACACCGACAGCGTAAACGAGAAATTTTCAATGATAATCATTGACAAGGATCAATAAATATGTCAAATTTTTACTTTCTTGTTGTCACTTTAATTGCTTTCTCTTTGTATCCGCTTTCTTGGGAGCTATGTTAGCCCTTGTTGACAAGAGAAATGCTATTCATTCCCACTAGGGATGCATCTCCAGTTTATATAACGTTAATGTGTCATTAAATGATAGGTAAAATTAAATAAGTCATTTAATTTTACCTATCATTTAACCAATCATTTACATCCACATAAACTGGGGATGAATAACATTTTTCTTGTTGACAATTATTATAAAGAGAAATCAGGGGGAAAATGATGTTTTAAATTATAATTTTTTTTGAAAATCGGGTGATTAAAAATTGGGGAAAAATTTGTATTTACGTACAAAATATTTTATCGTATAAATGTGCAATTAAAAGTGAGTATTAAAAATAAAGAAATTTTGTTTTAATGAAAGTCAAACAAGAAGTAAGGTAAAGACCCACGCCTCCCATATAGTAATACTTGTTGAGTACAAATTCCATTGCTCTTTCTTGACTAAATATAACAATCCATTGCTCTTTCTTGACTAAATATAACAAGATAGACCAACTTTGATTGACCCATATAGTAACTCTCGTTGAGTACAAATTCCATTGCTCTGCTTTTTCTTGACTAAATACAACAAGATAGACCAATTTTGATTGAGCCATGTTTGATGTCAATTAAAAAAATAACTGCTTACTTTTCTCATACGTTCTTCTTACCCGAAGTCATTCCCAAATTGTCGACACTCTCTTTGCTCTTCCTATCCTGGCGAATGTGAGAGTTTGACAAGCTGATACAGTTAAGAAAAAAAGTCTTGTTAAAAATAGGAATAAAGATTGTAACGACTATTTGAACTAGTGTCAAAGATTTGATTGACCATTGTGCTTATGATTGAACCTATTTAGGGTGCTCTCATAAGGCGTAGGATAGGGATTTGAACCAGAGGACTATCCTCATCTACTTTTTTTTTAAAGCTGAGAACAAAGATTATATATATGTCGGCCAACCCAACCTCGAACTCTTTCTTTCTGATCCATTTGATTCTCTGGCCGCAGTTATTTAGGTGGTATTCCGAGCTTGAAGAGATCGACTTCCTCCCGGGAACACACGAAAGAAAGATATGAACTGGGTAAATAGAAATGGAAAAGANCTTCTTTGGGCAAATACATTACTTTTTTGGAAAAGTAAGTTTTGAAATAGTATTTTTTCGTAGAATGTATAATTAAAAAGTATAAAGAGTTTTTAAATTTACGTATAAAATGTTCTACTGTGAGAATGTGCGACTAAAAATAAGTTTTATTATTATTATTTAAATGGAGAAAGATAAATCGGAGCTGAATATATGTGTGAAAACGAAACCAAAATGAAAGCCGAGGAGGGCCACCGGCCAGATTGAATGAATTGAATCTGGATTCTAGAACTTCTGCTGGTATATTCATTTTTAGGGTTCCGTTATATGGACTATAAGATGTTTTGGCCCATTTTATTTTATTTTATTATTGTTTCATAAATAATAAATAAATGTTAAATACGGATTTTAAAATGCTATTTAAATTTTAAATTAATATAATTTTTAATTTAGTATATATTCGTTCTAAGTTATAGGTTTAAAAAAAAAAAAAATTTAAATAATTCACTTAATCATGTAGGGCGAAAAATCAATCGTCTTAAGTAAAATTTACTTTTGGGTTTTGAGTCATTTTTATTTTTATTTTTTCAATTACATATTTTGTAATAAAATAATATTATTCGTAAATCGAATTTTTTTTTTTTTTATAATGTATTTTCCAAATATAACTATTAAAAAAAGTGCATGGTTAAACGAGGGCATAGTCTTCTCTTCCCATTTTTATAGACACAAAACCTCGGTTTGTTCACCAAGAAAGCTCTCTCCTCTCTTACACCGTTTCAAATCTAGAGAAAGAACTGAGAAGAAAAGGAAGAGAGGGAGAGGGAAAAAAAAACAAAAAGAATAATGGGAGAGGAGAAACCAAAATCAGCTGGAGTGTGGCCAACTGTGAAGCCCTTTGTTAATGGTGGTGTTTCTGGTATGCTTGCTACCTGTGTTATCCAACCCATTGATATGATCAAGGTAACAACCCACATCATCATGTGTGTCTTGTGTTTTAATGGTTTTTTTTTTTGTTTCTTGAATAAACTTTAGCCTTTAGGCTCTTAGTATGTTTTTCAGATCTTGAATGAAATGGGCACTTTTCGAATATTTATGTTTAAAATCTTCATGTTCTCCCTTCAAAGTTCAGTTTTTTGATGAGTTTCAGATCTCAGGTAAATGAGTTTTTGTCAAAATTGGATTTGCTTGTAGTTAAAGTGCGCTTAAAAGTTATGAAAGGATGGAATCTTCGTGGGTTTGTTTAGATCTAATTGTTTGATGGGTTTGAATTAAATCTTGAAATTGTTTATCTGATCTGTGAGGCTCCATTGCTCATTTTGCAGGTGAGAATTCAATTGGGTCAGGGTTCTGCGGCTGTGGTGACCAAGACCATGCTAAAAAATGAGGGAATTGGTGCCTTCTACAAGGTTTGGTTTCTGTTAGTACTGGCGATCCTTACTAGAGAAAATTTTATACTTCCGTGTTCGAATTGTAGTATTGAAGTTGTCAATATGTGGTAAAAGATGAACCTTTAGTCGATTTGGCTCACAAAATTGTGGCAGATTTTGTGATGTCGTAGTTGGCTTTCTAATGACATTTTGCACATTTTCTTTTTTTCTTTTAAATTGAATGGCACCGAAGAAATTATTCGGGAAAGACTCCTATCTTTTCCAGTAATCAATTGTTCTATTTAGTATTGAAGTGGTTGATATGCGCTTAAAAGATGGACCTTTAGTCGATTTGGCTCATGAAGTTGTGGCAGCTTTTGTGATGGCATAGTCGGCTTTCTTATGACTGTTGGCACATTTTCTTTTAAATTGGATGGCACTAAGGAAATTAGTTCGGGCAGTCTCCTATCTTCTTCAGTAATCAAATGTAACGGGTTTTGATATTTTTAATTTCTTTGCCAGCAGTTTCGATGGGTTGAAAAGAAACTAGCTGACTACCACCCTTTTTTTCAAAAAATTTTACAAAAAATCTAATAATATTTTGCACTTGAACTAGTTTATATCATCCTGCAGAATGCTTACATATGATGCACTGACGCTCTCCTCGCACCGGCTAGTCGGTGTCCGACATGTTGTGAACAATTGGTGGATATGCTAGGCGGCATTTCTGAATTATTTTATGGTTTTAAATAGTTAGACATGTTACGCTAGGGGTTACATTGTCGCCGGAATTAACAAAAACAAATTCACATTCCAATTTAGTGAATAAGAAATGAAGAAACAAAAAAATGTGTTGTGTCATATTCGACATTTGTGCACATGTCTGTGCTTCCTAGATGCTTACTCTTGGGATTTCTTTTGAAGACTTGAATAATTTATATATTTTTTAATGCTTTTTCAAGTTTTACAGTTGCTCTTCTGTTGCCAAAGTATTACCTTTTCTTATAATTATTGTTGTGTTATTGTCTGTGCAGGGTTTGTCTGCTGGGCTTCTTAGACAAGCTACGTATACAACTGCCCGTCTTGGTTCATTTAGGTGAGTGATTACTTATAAATATGGCAACTGGAAAAAGTTATGGCCACATGTATAGTTAGTAAACAAGAAGAAATGCATTAAAATATCTAAAATTGTTTTGAATCAATCAAGTTGGTTATGCAGAGGGTTATTGAACATCTTTTGTGATTTCAATTTGAACAATCTTGCATCACTGGTCTACATTTGTCCAAGCTGTATAATATGTTAAAATCTGATGTAATTTGAACAATATTGTTGTCGTTGTTCACTATTTGGAAATCTTCCCGTTCAATAGGATTTTGACAAACAAGGCAATTGAGGCCAATGATGGGAAGCCATTGCCGCTGTATCAGAAGGCTCTGTGTGGTTTGACCGCGGGAGCCATAGGAGCTTCTGTAGGCAGTCCTGCCGATTTGGCACTTATCCGCATGCAGGCTGATGCAACATTGCCTGCTGCTCAGCGCAGGAATTATACAAATGCATTTCACGCCCTCTATCGAATTGTTGCCGATGAAGGAGTTTTGGCCCTCTGGAAAGGTGCTGGCCCTACCGTTGTGAGGGCTATGGCACTTAACATGGGAATGCTTGCTTCTTATGATCAAAGTGTGGAGTTTTTCCAGGATAATCTTGGTTTTGGCGAGGCTGCTACAGTGATAGGTGAAATTCTCTTTTGAATTGGATCTGCCTCCATTTCATTATTCTTTGGCTAAGCTTGACCAAAAAGTAAAAGATAAATTTAAGTGACTTTTTCCAAACATGTTTGGAAAGGTTACTTTTCTGAAAAGTATCTCTTACGTTACTTACTATTTTGTTTGGTTCGGTTTGGTTGGATTTTACGCTTAATCCGTTCTTGTTTCTTTTCAGGGGCAAGTTCTGTATCAGGGTTTTTTGCTGCTGCTTGCAGTTTACCATTTGATTATGTCAAAACCCAAATACAGAAAATGCAGCCAGATGCTACAGGGAAATTTCCTTATACTGGTTCTTTAGATTGTGCCGCGAAAACGCTAAAAGCAGGAGGTCCTTTTAAATTTTACACTGGATTTCCCGTATACTGTGTTAGAATTGCACCTCATGTCATGGTACGGACTCTCTCGAATTCTCTCTTTATGTGTGTATTTTTATCGACCCACATTATCCGAACCTTTGACAACTGTTGTTATCCATTGTAGATGACGTGGATATTCCTGAACCAAATTCAAAAATTGGAGAAGAAGGCTGGATTATGATTCCAAGTGAAATCCAAGATCTTCACTGGAGCTCGACCTACAAATAATATTTTTGGTTGTGTTCTACTCAAGGCTACAATAAATTTACAGGGATTGATAGGATTGTTGTTCTGATCTGAATATAGAGTAGGGATTCGGAGTTTCCAAATTATTTCTGGGTTCAAATAATCTGTGCACTCAACTACTCTGACAGATACCTTTTGTTTTGCATCAATTTTGATAATAATATGCATTTGTTCTTAATTTGCCACCAATTTTGGTCGAAATTTACAGGGAACTTTTGATAACTTGTGCTCATACCAGCAGGAGTTACTGTAGCTGAACCTGGCATGACCGAACGTGAGCTGGGTCGTGCTTTTGACGAGCCAGATCCACTGGTTTTTATGGTTGCATCGGCAGTGGGTTTCCATAGCTAAACTACGGCCGGCCCATCATGAGGTGGGTCGTACTGGCTGCTTAGGTGTGGCACATTTTAACGCCTCTGGTATAAGCGTGAGAGGTGAAAATTTGAAGGAACATGGTTTCTTGTACATAACTATTTACATAATGTTTTACAAAATAATGAGGGGTCAAAATTTAATTGTTGAAACTTTGATTCAATTAAATTTTGTCACATCATCTTCTGGTGGTAAATCATTACGTAAATTGTTATGTAAATATAATATAACCCAAATTTAAACTCCCACAGAAGAAGGATAAACAAGACTTTTTGGAATATTTAGCCTAGTAAATCCGTAGAAATCAACAAATCTTTGCGCACCATAAAATAATAATTTGCAATTTTCAAGTTCAGTAACAAAGTTAAAAGTTTAGCGAACAATATGAAATATCGTTAACGGGACCCCCAGAACATTGATAAAGCTTGACAAAAAGCTCGGGACCCTTGGACGAATGATACATGTAAACAAGTAAATTTTAACCAAACCAACCTCCATCTTCCTAGTCACAAGCTATCATCGACGCATTTCCATTTTTCAACCACTTGCATTTTGTGATCTTCCCTTCGGGATGGAACATAGAACCGTATCCCTTTTGGGGGTGACCGAGTTGGTAGAGTCAGTGAACGTTGAGACCAATAGTCACGAGTTCAAATCCCCTGCCAACACTTCCTCAGTCGAACCCGTCGCATCGGACTTGCTTAGTGCGATTTACCTTTCATATGTGGTTAGCGAGCTACTGCACATAAAGCGGGGTTTAACTAGTGCGCACTCACATTAGCCATTTCTCCGCTGACGATAGAGGCTGCGAGTTCCTACGTCAACAAATAAAAAGGGAAAAAAGTTACTGAAGCCAATGTAGTAGGGAAGACAAAACACCAAACATAAAATAAACCTTACATAAATAAATAAACACTTGTCGAGTCTCTGGCTTGATACAACAAATATCCACGACCGTCTTTCACTTCAGCAGTATCAGTAAGTTCAAGAAAATGACTTGGTAATGGTACAGAGTTGATGTTGGAACAAGTCTACATAGCAAGAAGCATAGATTATTAGGTTTCAAGGAAGAGACTAAAATTTACGAGACTTTGTTGGTCATCAAAATTTATTTTGTTTCGATGCGGTCGCATAAGCTCGCTTCTTGATTCAATTTTGTGGCACAACTAAATTTGGTTAGACAACGTTGTTACTTGACGTGGCATAAACGTGGACATCTTCCACATCAAACATTCTGTTTGAAAATTTGCGACGAAAACCTTTACTTTTAACTTAGTAAAGTTGAATGACAAACAGTTTCTTACCGCCAACTTGAAAGCTGAAACACAAACCTGGCATCAACTTGAATTACAAATTGTACAATATCAGAAAATGAATGAATTTATCTTACCAATTAAACAAAACTTCCACATTCCCATAGTAATCGTAAAGGATAACATTATATAATTATTTTCTTAACTGATTGAAACCCATTTCCATTTGCATCTATCTATTGCAAACCAAAGATTTACAAAACTTTCCTTCTACACCCACTCCCCCAACCAACTAAAAAAAGAAAAACCAGCGTCGGAAACAATATCGGGTGGACCTTTGCCACAAGTTTCAAAGCAAGCGAAGTTAAAACACGAGGAGCGAGACCAATTCTTCCTCTTTAGACAAGTGAACATAACTGCTAAAGATTTTCTCCCGTGGGAAACTATAATGAGTGAACTGTTCAGGGAAGAGACTTGCATGATGGTAAATACAAGTCACCATTGCCAATGCTCTTCTTTGTACACTTAATTTCCTCTGCCAATGCCCGAATCCTCAACATACTTCCATGTAATCTCTTTATCCGCTGCATGCCGATCCACATCCATACAAACATCTCCTCCTACTGTCATAGGCTCAGATGCCTCAACACTCATTCTGTCATCTCTTTATTCTCTGCTTGCCTGACCAATTTCGTACAAACATCTGCTCCTACTGCCGCGGCTCGGATGCCTCAACGTTAACATTACCATCTGTATCCACTCACAAGTTATCCTGATTGTTCTCATCAATGTTAGTCTCTTCTTTCCCATCAACATCTGCAATGTTCTCTGCAACAAATTCATAATTGTTTTTCACTTCCTTCACTTCAACATCTGCAATTTCCTTGATCTGATCTGTTTCCATTGTCACTTCAACATCCACTAAATTTTTTTGCTTAGGTTTTGTAGCTGCTTCTACACTTTCATTATTGTCATTTGATTCGACATTCCCTTCAGAACTCCCACCTCCCTGTTCGTTCAAATCCACATTATGCTCCTCTATGGAATGGGTCTCATCCCCATCACTAACGCTCTCATTGTCAGAGTCATTCTCCATCACCTCTTCATTAATCTCCCCCCCGACTTTGAGTCCCGGCCTCTCGAGACCCTGCAACCTCCTCCTCAAATCCCCCAGCTCCCTCTCCATCAAGTACAGCCTATCCTTCAAAATCAAATTCTCTTCTTCCAACTGTGCAATGTGTGTATCCTGATCATCCATTTTATTCTCTAACACATTATGATATTCCACTCCACCAATACCAACACTCTTCGGATTATAAATCATCTCAAAACGACTCAAATCATGGTCTAATCTCCTCTCAACCTCAACATGCTCCTCCACATCACTCTCGCTTGACCCTCCCTCATCTTCCTCCTCTTCTTCATGTACCTCCATTTCATGGCCCGGTGATCTCAACCGAATCAACCCCTTCATTGAACCATAACCATCAAGACCCCACTCTTCCTTCGCCATATCCACTAAAACCTCCCGTGATGGGGAGAAAATTGGAGTTGGCAAAACTGCAGGAGTCACTGGGCAAGGAGAAACAAAAGGTGCAATCCCACCACTCTTCTTAGCCCTTATTAGAAAAGAAGTTGTGTTCCTTGGAGCAAATGGAGCAAACCTTTTATTATTACTACCCATTGTCAAATTCATGTTATTGTTCTTATTGAAATTCTTTTTGGGGAAGAATTTCCGTGCCTTCAACCTATTCTGATGCTGCAATTCATTCAAAGTTGGAGGGTTATAATTAAAATTCTTATTCCCAGTGCCACTGTTGACATTAAAAGCACTACCAGGAGGACCAGTACTAGAGCCAGGCATCAAGGGTTTCTGCTGGTCATTCCGCCTCTTGTCGTACGGCTTACCGACCTTCTTCCCCTTCCAGTTGCTCCTCGGACCCGACCGCAATTGAGTCGTTGACTTATTGAAAGTAACAGATGGGGGTGGTTTCATACCTACAAGGTTCATGTTAGGTTTAGGGTTATGGAATTGTGGTTGTGGCAACGGTGGGGCCCAATTCCCGTAGCTCCGATTCACCATCTGCGGATGAGAGTGATAATTCATCATCATTTTAAGCGATTTCGAAATCATTAGATGTGAAAAGTAGTGTTCTTGATTTGTTTTGAAATTTACCTGCTGCTGCGGTTGCGTATTCATTTGGCTCATGCCAATCATTTGATTCTGATTCATGGCCATGGCCATTATTTGTTGATGCTGCTGCTGTTGTGGTTGGGGATTCATCATCGTTGAAGCTTGCTCATTCATTTCAATATATGTCAATCGGGAAAATAAAATTGAAGAATTACAAATAAACCCTATAAACCAGGGAAATAATTTGAACGATAAATTTCCCAGAAAACTGAATAAGTTTTAGGCTTTCAAATTCCAGGAAAATCAAAATCCGTAACCCACTAAGAAATTACAGAGATTTACATTGCACAAACGAAATTCCAGATCAAGAAAGAGAAATTAATACTCAATTTTGTAATTTTACTTTCAGAATCAATCTAGAATTCTTCAATTTTATTTCGTATTTCGGAGTTTTTAAGATTTCTTTCGGAGAAAAATATGATTGCTAGTGCCTGCTGTAGAAAAGGTGGGTAAAGGGCTTATATAGAGAGTTGGGGTAGGAAGTCGGTCGGTTGAGGTTCAGCAATGGACAATGAACGGCTAAGATTAGAGTATGATCGGGAAATGAGTTCGATTAGGATTAGGTTTTGTGTAATTTTGTTGACACCGACCTGCGAGGTTATTAAGCTCGGAAGGATTGAGCACCATTAGCAGAACACATGATTGAGCTCGGTAAGATATTAAGCTCGATAGTATATTGAGTTCGGTAACAAGCCAAGGTCTGAATTAATCCATAGTATCATTGGGTAATGTAATAAGTTCGGCTGGGACGAGGTCAGCTCATTAGGTATGTCTTCGTGGAGAATAATAATGAGAGATCTCTGACAGGATATGTAAGCAGCAAATCACGAAAGAACCCCTGGAAAGGCCTTACGTCGGCCCTTCTTTATCCTCCAATTAGATGTGTTAGCTGTCCCTCCTAAGTTATGAATTAATTACGGGGGGTCCACTTGCCATTAATGTTCTGAGGAACTCTGACAAAGTCTAGTTCGGCGACCACTCCTATTGCGCTAGCCACTGGACTTCTTCAGCTCGGGGTTACAGTGAAAAGACAGGGAAAGTACCATGCATGCATATTTTCTTCTATAAATAGGAATCCAAAGTTCCAAGAAAAGGGGGAGGAGAACAAAACGTGAAAAAAGCNAAAAAGGGAGAGGAGAAAAAAAGTGAAAAAAAAGCTTGAATACGTTCTTAGCATATCTTTCATATTTTAAAATTCTCCGTGATAATTAAAAAAAAAGGATTATTGTATCCAATTTCTATAAACACTTGAACATTTCAATGAGAATCTTATACGTCGCTCCTTTTTAGTTGGCTTGAGATTTGTCCATACAAATTTCAACGTCAACAGTTTGGAGCTAGAGGAAGGGGGGGACCAACTTGGGAAAAAACAGCTCCATCTCTCCACAAAATCTATAAACCAACATGATGGACGAATTTTCAACATCTGGAAATCAATTCCATACTCACCCCGAACAAACCAACAATTCCACGAAAGCTGAAAAACGAGACCGTAAGGAAGCTACCGATCTTCAAATGATGGCTATGAGGGAAGCTATCGAAAAACTGACAAATGTTGTCAGCCGATTGGAAGAAAAACAAACTCAAAATCCATCACAAAACGATGAAGAGGAATCCCATCGACAGGGAAGGACCAGACGACTTCCCACCAAAAGAACTCTCCAGTTCTCTAGCGGAGAATCTTCTAAAGGCCGAACTGAAGAAGTCGTGACCTCTCCTGCCGCAACAAATCAAACGGCTAGAAAAACAAATAGTGTATTTGATAGGCTGGGTTCCCAACATTCGTTGACTACCCCAAAATAAGAAAGACAAGCCTCGCCTCACGGAACGGGCTGAACCGGAAATGAGTGCCCTCAAGAAACGTATATCCGACCTTGAAGCTAAAAACAAAGGGAGCATGGAAGAATATCGTACTAAATGACATTCCCCTTCACCGAGGATATTCTAGTGAAACCACTACTCGAAAAACTAAAAATGCCACAAGTAACAGGATATGATGGAGAAGGGGACTCCCTCAGTCACCTAGACAAATATTCCTCCTAGATGGAGTTGCAAGGAGCCGGAGACGCTATTATGTGCTGAGCTTTTCCCTTAACTCTGGGAAATAAAGCTCAAAGATGGTTTAGTAGGCTACACCAGAGGTCTATAAAAAATTGGGATGACCTCGCCTCGGCATTCTTAGCTCAGTTTATGGGCTCAAAGGCGAGAACCACTCCAAATGAGAGGTTGGTAAGTATAAAGCAGGAAAAAACTGAATCACTCAAGAGTTATTTGAACAGATTCAATAAACAATCCATGGAAGTAGAAAAGATTTCCGATGATGCTGCGCTGATTGCAGTTCTCTCGGGACTAAGACCAAAAACGAGGTTCTGGTGGTCCGTACATTGGACGGACCCCGAACTTACCACAAGCTCTTAGGATGCGCTGAGAAGTACATAAGCGCAGAAGAAGCAACATCGGATCAAGAAGATGCCAAACCAATACCGCGATCTCCACCCCGAGCTAAAGGTTTCGTCCGTCTGGGTCCAGCCCTCAAAAGAAGGGACAGGAGGGATCAAGGTCGCTCCAGGCCGTATCCTGACAAATTTCACAAATACCATCCTTTGAACGCAACTTTGGAGGAAGTCTTCTTGCAGGGAGGAGAAAAGGAAACTTAATACCAAGGAAAATACTGTCATTACCATAAAATCGCAGGACATGACACGGACAACTGCAGACACCTGAAAGAAGAGGTGGAGTCTCTCATTAGACGAGGCCACCTATAACCATTGAATATTCAGTGTAACCACGCCGTATTCCGCTACAAAAGTTGCTTAAAATTTAAGTTTAAATTAATAATTAATTTTAATTACATATAGTATGACATCCACGACATTTCGACCACACATATTATTAACTTTTATTAACATCGACTAAAAATTTAATCTTCATTTCAATCAAACATAAGCTAAACAAATTAGTATACCTTATCATCCCACGAAATAATTTCGAAAGCTAGACCTTATTTTTCAACTTGAGTTGATATCCAAAAATTAGAAATGATACATGTTCTATGATATTCGTCCAACAATTTAATAAAAATTTCAACGTTGAGACTCATTATGCATCATCTTTAACTAAAAAAGCAAAAGTAGTTTTACGTGCCTTTTTTATTCACGGTACCGTAAAGATTGCATTTTTTATTGAAAAAAATAAATACTAAAAAAATTCGAGCATATTTTGTTCATAAAAGTAAGATAAACGACCGATAAAGAGCTTCTTTCGCTCCTCTACCCTTACAGGCGACGCTGTAACATCGCAACAGAAAACAGTAAGATCGAAGCACGGTAGCACTTGTATGATTTTAAACCCTTTCTAGATGGTCAAGTTTCTAATACTACAAAACCAGCTTTACGCTACCTACGTCTTGATGGCTCCATCTAGAGAAAGTGCTGCCTTTCATGTATACAGAGTATTAAGGTGCAAGTAGGACAAGTTATTCGAATCAAGCATCAGCTACTAATCAATCTATCGAATATTCTGAACATTATGTTATTAAACCAGTTAGGCTCGATTTACTCTTTTCCTCTTCTTTGATTTCTTGTTCTGAAACTTCCTTTTCTTTTTTGATGAATCTACATGTGTTTTTTGCTGTTTGGTATTCGCTCTCTCTGACTCGACATCTTCAGCTTCGGTGGTGTCACTCACTGAACGGTTTTCGTCTCCGTCTTCATCAGAACTCAGGAAGAAATCCTCCACAACATCTTCATCAAGAGCTGTCTGTTCTATAGGCTCCTTCTGTTTCTTCTTTTTCTTAGTTTTCTCCTCCTCGTCTTCATTAAGCTTAATCCTAAGGCACAAGGAGATCCAAGAATATGCAGTAAGTAAAAACCCATAGAAGATAATAATAATAATAATAAACACAGAAATAGAGATAAGAGTACTTTGATTCCCGTCCAGGTAGCCACGAAGAATTAAAGACGCGTGCCCCTTTCCCTTGTCTACTATCATCATTATCATCATCTTCTACTTCATCATCATCCTCCATCTTATTCCCGAAGATGGATGATTTTTCACCGATAAGTACACTGGAAAAAACACATCCAACATTAAGCTTGATATAAAAATATTTTCGAGAGATAATTTATCTAGATATATATAGCATGTAATCAACCTCGATTCCATCATTGTGTCATTTCTTTGCTGAGCTCTCTGGCGTAGAGTGGCAGCATACTGTGACAGGGGGCTAGCCTCGGATTTTTTCTCATCCTAATATGCAGGAAAAAATATTTAATCAGCTTCTGGACATGAGTCAATTTGAATATACAATAAATTAATCAACTAAGCAAGCAAATGGAAAATGTATAGTCCCAATATTTTCAATCATAAAATGAATCATGGTATACAATCAAACTGTAATGGCATGCCAGCAGCATTTCTCAACCTAAGAATGAAAATTAGCATCAAAATGCAAACCTCTAGAAAAGATGCCGCTTCAGGGTCATTAGGCAAGAATGAAATTGTTGCCCTTTTCTTATTTGTAAATTCAGAATTGGCGTTGATCTATGGCATTGAACAATATCCACATTAGATAACACTTCACACACTTCTTTAAATACAAAATTTACACCAGCAGATAACTCTGGGTATACCTGATGAATAAGTTTCCTCAATTCTCGACGAAACCTCTCAACTTTTGTTGATTTACAGAAGTTACGCAATCGAACAGAAGGAACAAAAGACAATTCAAAGAAGGCAATAGAATAGCTCCATTGAGCTAGATGTTCAGTAAGCTCTTCGACCACAGAGAAAACACATGCTTCCTGAAATGCTCTGGTTTTTAAGGTAGTTTTGCTCACCTAATTAATAAAATGGATTCACATCAATAACAATACCATAGCTGGAAACAAAATGTTGTAAAAAAAAACCCAACACGTGAAATACCTTTAGCACAGCTCGCAAATCTACAGCTTTTCCAACTCCTCCTGTAGGAGGTTTGTGCAATTCTTTAATTTCCAGCATGTCTAGAAGGAGCAGAGAAACTGGGATGAAGGTACCAGTTGAAGCAGCAATGCGGTTAAGCATCCTCACACAACGCAATCTGAGGGGAAAAT